TTCTTTCCAAGGTGGGAGAGGATGATATGACTCCCAATATCACTGTGGGCGTGGACGTCCACCGTGATATTTTCCCTAACATCCAAAGGTAGAGAGGGTGATGTTTCTTCAGATTTCGCAGGGGCTGTACACCACCCCTGTTATATGTTTCCTAATATCCAGATGGCGAGAGGATGACATCAGTCTGAATATTGCAGGAGGTGTACACTCCCTGGTGATATTGTTCCTAATAGCCAGGGATGGAGAGGATGATATTACTCCCAATAAAGCAGGGGGTGTACACCCCTTCTGTGACATTGTTCCTAATAGCCAGCCGGCGAGAGGAAGATATTACCGCCAATATCGCAGGGGTGTACACCCCCTTGGGATATTGATCCTTATATCCTGGGAGGGAGGCGATCTTACTAGTGGCAATATCGCAGGGGTTGTACACACCCACTGTGCTATTGTTCCGACTAACACGATATGACTCCCAATATCACGGGGGGGTACATCCTCCTGTGATATTGTTTCTTATATTCAGGGGGAGAGGATGATATGACTCCCAATATCGCAGGGGTTGTACACACCTCCTGCGAAATAGTTCCTAATATCCCGAAGGGGAGAGCATAATATTACTCTCAATATCTCAGGGGGTGTACACCTCCTTTGTAATATTTTTCTTAATATCCATGATAGGAGAGGATGATAAGACTCCCAATATGGCAAGAAGTGTACAGCCGGCTGTGATATAGTTCCTTACATCCAGGTAGGGAGAGGATGATGTTACTGCCCATATCGTACAAAGTGTAAAACCCCTTCGATATTTTGCCTACAATCCTGAGGGGAGAGGATGATATTACTCCCAATATGGAAGAAGGCGTACACCCCCCTGGGACACTACGCCCAATATTCACGTTGGGAAATGATGACAATATGCCCAATATCGCAGGGGATGTACACCCACCCTAGCATATTGTTCCTTATATCGAGAGTGGGAAAAGAAGCTATTACTCCCAATAACGCAGGGGCTGTGGCTGTACACCCCTCCTGTGATGTTTTTCTTTATATCCTGGGGAAGAGAGGATGATATTACACCCAATACCGCAGGGGGTGGACACCCACTCAGTGATGTTGTTCTTAATGTACTCCACCTCCCACCACCAGGGATATCGTTCCTAATATCCAGGGGAAGAGAGGATAACATTATGCCCAATATTGCTGGGGAGTATACACACCCTCTGTGATGTTGTTCCTAGTATCCAAAGGTAGAGACGATGATATTACTGGCCATATCGCAGGGGGTGTACACCCTTCTGTGATATCGTTTTTGACGTTCAGTTGGGGGAGACAATAACATTAATCCCAATATCGAAGAAGGTGTACATACCCCTGTGATGTGGTTCCTAATGTACAGAGGAAAGAGAAGAATATTGCTCTCAATATCGCAGGGGATGTAACCACCCTTTCCCCCCTATATTCTCCCTAATATTCAGTGGGTTGGCGGCTGACAGTACTCCCAATATCCCAGAAGGTGCACACACACCTGTGATATAGTTCCTAATATCCAGCGGGAAAGAGGCTGAGTTTACTTTCGATATCACAGTGGGTGTACACCGCCCCCAACCCCGGGGTATTGTTCCTAATATCCAGGCGGGAGGAAGATGATATGGCTGACAATATCGAAGGGGGTGGACACCTCTTCTGTGATATGGTTGCTGATATCCAGGGGGTGAGTGGATGATGTGTACACCCCACCTGTGATATGAATCATAAAACCTAGAAGAAGAGAGAATGATATTGCTTCCAAAAACACACGGGGTGTACACCCACCCTGTGATATTGTTCCTGTCATCTAAAGGAAGAGATGACGATACTACTCCCACTACCGGAGAAGGCACATACCCCCTGTGATATTGTTCCTCATAACTTGTAGGGGAGAGCATGATATTACTTCCAATATGACAGTGGCTTGACACCCAGTCTGTGATATTGGTTCTGCACACCAACTCTGTGCCCCTCGTTTCCCATGTGTTCTCTCCTCACTGTTGGAACCTCGGGGGAGGCTTTGTCTTTGGTTACAGATGAAGACACGAGGGGTCTGAGAGGTTAAGAAAGTTTGTTACTGGAAAGGGGTCCCAATCCAGACCGCAAGAGAGGTTTCTTGGATCTCACGGAAGAAAGAATTCGGGGTGAGTCCATAAAGTGAAAGCACCTTTATTAGGAAAGAAAAGGAATAAAAGAATGGCTACTCTGGCCGGGCGCAGCTGCTCACTCCTGTAATCCTAGAACTTTGGCATGCCGAGGCAGGTGGATCACCTGAGGTGAGAAGTTCGAGACCAGCCTGGTCCAACATGGCAAAACCCTGTCTCCACTAAAATACAAAACATTAACGGTGTGGTGGCAGGTGCCTGTAATCCCAGCTACTAGGAAGGCTGAGGCAGAAGAATCGCTTGAACCCACGAGGTGCAGGTTGTAGTGAGCCAAGATCATGCCACTGCATTCTAGTTTGGCCAACAGAGCAAGACTCCATCTCAAAAAACAAAAAAAAAAAAAAAGGAAAAAAAAGAATGGCTGCTCCATAGGCAGAGTGGCCCCAAAGGCTGCTGGTTGCCCATTTTCATGGTTATTTCTTGATCATACGCTAAACAAGGGTTGGACTATTCATGAGTGTTCCGGGAAAGGGGTGGGCAATTCCCAGAACTGAGAGTTTCTGCCCTCCCTTCCGAGACCATGTAGGGTAACCTCCAGATGTTGCCATGGCATCTGTAAACTGTCGTGGCGCTGGTGGGAGTGCCTTGTAGCAGTTAACGCGTTATAATTAGCACATAATGAGCTGTGAGGGCAATCAGAGGTCACTCTCGTGGCCATCTTGGGTTTGCGGCTTTGGCCAACTTCTTTACTGCAACCTGCTTTATCAGCAAGGTCTTTATGACCTGTATCTTGTGGGGACCTCCTATCTCATCCTGTGACGAAGAATGCCTAGCCTCCTGGAAATGTGGCCCAGCAGGTCTCAGCCTCCGTTTACCCAGCCCCCATTCAAGATGGAGTCGCTCTGGTTCACGTGCCTCTGACAAGTTGGCCTGGGTTGAGCGTTCCCTAGTGTGCGGTTGTTGGAGCTATTCCTAGGAGTAAGAGGGATTGTCAGTAGGAAACAGGCCTGTTAGCCCTGGGGCTGGCACTCTGCCCCAGTATGTCGGTCTCATTTTAGTGGTGACAAAACTGGGGCTCAGAGACATCAACTCCCTCATCTCGAACCCCCAGACTGTCAGTGGTGGGCTGGGGTTGGAATGTGGGGCTTGAAGACCCATCATCTCCTCTGGCCCCCAGTCTCTGCTGCCCAAGAGGAACAGGATCCCAGGATCCAGGCCCCTCATGGCACCAGCCAGGGTGGGTGGAGATGGGAAGGCACAGTTCCAAAGCCCCCCGGACTCTGAGGCAGGTCGGGGGCCGAGAGCAAGCCGGACCTGCGGACCCCACCCCGAGAAGAATGGCTGCAGGCCCGGCCCAGCGGGCAGGAGGTCTGTGTCCTCAGTCAACGTGACGGCGCTTCCCACTCCTCCAGCCAGGCCGTGCTGTCTTCACGTTTCCAATCATGCGGCCTCCTCTCCAATTCCCAAGCCCAACCCACAGAGACAGCGATCTGGGGTCCACGTGAGGTTTGTCAGCAGCTCTGACCCACTGCTTCCCGCCAGTCTCGCGGCCGGTTCTGGAAAGCTCTCTGCTGCCCCCTGGTGGGGAGGCTCGGGGCAGGGCTCTGGCTGCAAGCATGGGGTCCGAGAACCTCCTGGCTCTGTCACCCTCGTGAACCTGTGGCTGGCGTCACCTCTGCTGGGTGGAAAACCAACCCAGGACTGAAGCAGCAGATGGCTGCCTGATTCCTTATGATCAGAGCTCCGCCCACTGGCAAGTCTCTCTCCGGGCCTCAGTTTCCCCTTCCATTAAACGAGGGGCTTGGGGGATACCAAGGAGGGGTAACAGCTTAGTGAGGATGGCAGGTTTCTTCTGGGGAGATGAAAACATTTTGAAACTAGATGGCGTGAGTGGTTGCACAGGACTGTGAATCCACAAATGCCACCACATTATTCGCGTTGAAATAGTTCATTGCATGCGATGTGAATGTCACCTCATTTAAAGTGTTTAAAAGAGGGGGCTGGGAGAGTGCAGTGTATGTGAGAATCACGTGGGACACCCACAGTCTCTGAACCTCGGTTTCCTTGCTGTAAACTGGCAAAGAGACCGTGTGAGCTGTGTTCCCTAAGGCCAAGAGATTCCAACAAGGAAAACCTGGGATTCCAGGGACTGGGATGAGGGCCGGGGACCGGAAGGGGAGGGGTATGTGGGGATGGCTTGGGGGCAGCCCAGATAAGGCTTTCAATACTGGGTAGCAGCGTCTACACAGGCAGAGATCCCTGCATCTCACTTCCCGCAGGGCTGACCAGTGGCCAGAGGTGGGACTGGCCAGGCTCAGCCCAACCAAGTCTGGGAGCAGAGGACACTGAGTGAGGGATCCCCGGGGCCACCCTCACTGGCCTGTGGCTCTCCCGACACAAGAGAGGTCCAGGAGCTGACCTTGGGTCCTAATGGGGGACACCTTCCTGGCTGCAGGCTGGCAGGGTGGTGTGGTGGTCAGTGTACTGGGCTCTGCGTCTCTGCCCCTACCTGCTGTGTGACGGTGGGCCAGACACCTAACCTCTCTGTGCCTCTATTTCTTCAATGGCGAACAGGGACACTAGCAGCCCCGACATCCCGGCACAGTGGCCTGAAGGTTAAAGTCAAGGGCGGCACGAGACCTACAGCAAAAGCTCTGAGCAGGGAGAGCAGGGAGCTGCCCAGAGAGTTCCACCACCATCTCCCCTCTGGCCACCGAGGAAACCGAGGCTCATGGTGACCTGGCCCAGGTCTGTTGAACTCACGGTCCTTCTCATCCCCAAGATCAGAGGGCTGCCACCAGGGAAGGAGCTGGCCCCTAGACACAGCCCAGGAAGCACACAGGGAAGGATGCCCTGGGGACTTCGGTATGTTATTGCAAAGAAAAATTTATTGCTATTTGAACCCTGCTTTCATGCCCCATTTCCCAGAAAATGAGCCACGGGAGACACCAGGAGAGGGAGGAGACCATCCTCCTTGCACAAAACCCACTCCCTCGGATGCTGTCCTCAGCGAGGGTGGCTGGGGGCCAACCAGGGGGCCCACCCGCAGAGTGGCAGAGGAGGCAGGTTGACCCTGCGGACGTTGAGCTCTGTGGCGAAGGTCCTGGCCTTCTGGTAGAAGAGGAGCGACTTCTCACGGTCCAGGAGGAAGTTGTGGGAGACGGTGGCCGGCCGCGTGTAGATCTTCAGCTGTGCCTTCTTGTTGCCCAGGTCCACGGCGGCTGCCAGTGCCAGCTGGTAGTACTCAAACGGGTCCTGAAGGGGACAGGTCATGCTCAGCAAAAGGGGGACTCGGAGCCCATCTTCCCAGAGGCCGTTCCTGTCTCCAGGTCATTCCACATGTCCAGCCAATGCTGGCTCACCCCATGAGCCCCGAAACCTGTTACACTGCTGTGGTCTCAGCTGCAGGAAGTGGGGACGACCCTGACAGCACTGGAAGCCTTCCTGACTGCCCCTACGCCCCACTCACCCCAACCGTCCTGCCCCAGTGCCACCCTCTCTGCAGGCAGTGGCTGCTTTCCCCATGGGCCGAGGTCAGGGCAGATCCTGCCTGCTCTGAGAGTTCCATGCAGGACCCGTGGCTCCGAGCCACAGCAGGGGCACAGCGTTGAGTGACCCAGGCTCCCCTCTGGCCCCTGTCCATGCTGACCATTTCCAGGCCCTCCACGGGACAGGCCAGGTACAAAACCATCTCACAGGTGTCCTCTCTGGCAATGTTCCCTGAAATATTGACGGAGTGTGACGCCCCAGACATCCACTCCCATTTTCAATGCATCTTTGGCCCAAACTCACCATCCCTGGGTTGGGATGCCGCCTCCCAGACCTCCTCCTTCACCCTCCCATCCCCCACCCGGCTTCTCCCCAGGCGCCTCCACCACATGGAGCCACCCAAGGGACCTCTCTAAGACCCATGCCTGGCCTGTCCTTTACCATCTCAAGATGGCTCCCAGGGTCAAGGACAAAGTCCAAGATGCAGCAGTCCATTCCCCCACTGCCCCGCCCCACACACGGAGCAGGGGCATGAGAAGGCCCCGAGTCACCGCCACTGCTCATCCAATGCCCCCGGCCCAGCCGAACACTGGACTCTGTGCTGGGTGCGTGGCTGAGCCTAACGTCCTTGCTCCCAGTCTGAGGGACCTGGGAGTAAACACTGACCACACAGGGTGGCCCAGGCTGTGGCAGAGGGAAGCCCAGGAGCCTGTGGGGGGCCCAGGAGGCCCCAGACTCAGCGGGGGGTGGAAGGCAAAGGCTTCCTGAAGGGGTGGGGGCTTCCCAACTAAACAGGAAGGAGCCAGCCAATGCATATGTCTCTGCGTGTGCCTGTGCCTTTGTGTGCCTGTGTGTGCGTGGCCTGTGTGCGTGTGCCTGTGCCCGTGTGCATTTGTGTGTGCATTTCCATGTGCCTGTAGTGTGTGCAACAGCTAGTGAGTGGCAGGCTGAGCCAGGACACACTTAATCTTCCCTATTCCAGGGCTCACTCTCACGTGTACACTAAAGGGGACCCCGTTTTAGAGGCAATCGGCAAAGATGCCCATTTACCCCTGCCTCTCTGCCAGCCTTCCAGGCTCTATGCAGCCCGGCGTTTTCTCCTACTCCTCTGGGCCCTGGGTCCAGAGTCTCCTATACAAGGAGGAGGGTGTAGCCTTGGAAAGACAGCCGCCCTTGGGGAATTCCAAGGGGGCCTCCCTGTGGGAAGCTGGCCTGCGCTGACAGCATAGTCACGATGAGGCCCAGAGGGCTGTGCATGGGAAGGAGGTGAAGGAGGCCTCTGCCCCTCAACCCCAACCGTGGACTTTGGCCTCTCAGGTACTACTTGGCCCTTTCCTTCCTCCTGGGCAGGCGGAGGGGGCGGCAGGCTTGACCAAGAGAGATAAAGGCCTCTTCTGGGAGGCCCGTCTCCCTGGGTCCCAGGCGAGCCCCTGAGCGGTGAGTGGCGTCCCTCTGGGTCTGACACTTGGCACCTCCCTGTCTGGCTGGGACTTGGGAGGCCACAGGGACCACTTCTGACCACCAGGTGTCGCCAGCACTGGGCGGGGGCCTTCCGGGCAGCCCCAGGCCTGCGGTGGGGGATACGATACGGGGCGAGGTCGTAGGGCTGCCCCAGCTCCTCATGTTGTTCTAAGGACCCCAAGATCTCGGCCCCTGGACTGGAGTGCCCTGGCCCCTCAGCCCATAAGGAGCACTGATGCGGTGCCCGTGCGATGCTGAGGAGGGGCGGTGCCTGCCGGGCAGAGGGGTGGAGACACGCCAGGTCTGAGTCTGACAGTCCCAGCTCTCCACCCCTGCAGGGCTGGGGGCAGAGGGAGCACAGCACCTCCGCTCCAGACAGACGCCACCCAGCAAGGCCTCAGCCTGGCTGGCTGGGGCCCCGCCCCACTGCACCTGCCCTGAGCTGGGGTTTCCCTGTCTGTGAACCCGATGGTAAGACACTGGTCCCACCCCACCCTTCCTGGGTGATGTGAAGATTCAAGGTGTCTCGGGACTCCAGGAAGGAGTTGCTCAGTGCAGGCTGGCACCCTGGGCAGGCTTCCTAGAGGAGGCGCCAGGATTTGGGTTGGATCTTGCAATGTGGATTCAATGTGAGGATGATGCCGTCCTCCAAAATGTCCTTCTCCTGACCCTGTTTTCTTTGTTAAATGCAACTTGACACTTGACTGTCAAGACTCAGTTTTGGTGTCACCTCCTCCAGGAGGGTCCCCCTGACTACAATCCCCCTTCTTTACCCAGAGGCCACCGTTGCCCACTCATGTGTCAGCCTCCCTGGCTGAGACTGAGTTCTTGAGGGTGGGGCCTGGCCAGCTTGGGAGCTGGGTTGTATCTGCTAACATTGCCGGTTCCTCCAGCCGCGTGCAGAGCTCCAGGGAGGCCACTGGGCCATTCCTAAGGCAGGCTGGAACCCAGGCCTCTGGGTCAGGGTAGAGATCCCACTCCAAGGGGGCCGGGAACACCCCGAGCCCTGCCCCTCCCCACCCACCTTCAGGTCATAGAAGATGATGTCACCGAGCACCAGGTACACCTTCTTCACGTAGTAGAGGGTCTCCTCGTCGAACTCCAGTGGCGAGTTGCAGAGCTACAGGGCCTTGAGGTAGAACTGCTCTGCCAGCTTGCCCTGGCCCAGCTGATGGTGCAGGGCGGCCAGCCGGTGGTAGGCCACGTGCTCGTTCAGCCGGTCCCCTGGGGTGCAGGCCAAAGGGGCAGGTGTGAGGACGCGGCTCCCTGGGGCAGGGAGGGCACAGGCCCCTCAGGAGCAGGTATGCAGACCCCGGGCAGCACACCCGGCTTGCCTCCAGGCACCTGCGGTCGCCTGGGCAGCTCTGGCCAGTCCCTTCCAGGTTCCCAGACTCACTTTCCCATCTGCAAAGCAGAACTAATAAGGCCTGCCCCTGTCTACTGTGAGGCTTTGGCAAAGTCGGACTTGGATGGCCCAGCTCTGTGCCTACACATAGCCACCTGCCTTTGCTCACTGGTTTTAACCAGGGGAGCCCAAAAGCCATGCAGTCCAGGTGCTCCCGGGCACCCCGGCTCCAGGCAACCCACAGACGTGACATCCGACTCCTCCTGCGTGTGTCACAATCAGAGCCCCCTACTTTGGGGAGTCAGCTGCACACCTACTGTGTACTGGGCCACGGGGCACAAGGTGCTGGGGCATGCGGCCTGCCTAGGGTTCCCTGTCTCTGGAGGGGGACAGATGACCCTGGCACAGCACCAGGGGATGCCCGGCCTTAAGGGGCAGACTGCTGGAAGGGGAACTGGGATTTTATCAGCCAGAGAGCCGTGTGGTTGATGAGGTTGGGAAGGGCACAAGATAAAGGGAATGTGCCACTCAGCCTGGCACATACAGGGACCAACGAGATGCCTGGCATGTCTGGAAGGCAGAGGGCACACTGGGCGGCCCTTGTGGTCAGCAGCGGGAACAGGCAGAGGAAGCAGAGCTCAGTCAGGCAGGGAGCTCTGCACTGTGTGAGAGACCTCGGGCTGTGCCCCACAGCCGGATGGGGAAGCCAGTTGGGCAGATCTGCCTGCCTGGACAGGAGACCAGGAAAATCCAGCAGCTGTTTCAGCTCCTGCCCTGCAGACCTGGAGGCTGGGCTCTGGCAAAGTGTGGGTCCTGGCAGGGTGGGGGCTCAGGGGACTTACCCAGAGTGATGCTGAGTGCTAGGGCCATGTAGGCAAACTCCAAGTCCTCCTGGGGCTCCTCCAGGGTGGACAGGAGTGCCACCAGCTTTTTGCACAGCTGTAGCTGCAGCTCCGCCTTGCAGTTGCCCATAGTCACTGCCAGGGCCAGGGCCAGGACCCGGTCCTACCACACAGGCAGGTGGGGTCAGGTTTCCCGCAGCACCCACCTTGCGCAGCGCCCTCCTCAGAGCTCAAACATGTGCTTGGAGCTTCCCACGCCCCAGCTACCCCTGCACCTCCACACAGCTCTGTGCTCTGGGATAACACACAGTTCAGACACCCAAGTTGGGGGCTGAAGAGTCACCTGAGGCCCATCCAGCTACACCCAGCAGCCTCAGACCAGCCTCTCCCACCTGGGCACCAGGGGTCTGACTGGGGGGAGCCAGCACTCCTCTCTCCTCTAAAAACACCACATTTATCTGTGCCCAGGGCTGAGCCACACCGTGAGCTCAGAGGAAGGGAGAAGCCGTCCCACTTCGGGGTGCAAGCAGACCTGGGCCTCCCACTGACATGCTGTGTGTCCTCTGACATGTCCCTGTGCCTCTCTGAGCCTCAGTTTCCTCATCTGGAAGATGGGGACAGGACTTCTCGCTCATGGTTGCTTGAGATCATCAGGTACAAGGGTAGAGCCATTGTCACATCCAGGCCCCAAACGTTTGTCCCGGGCAGGGGCACGGTCAGTATCATTCCCGGTGAGAACACTGGGAAACTAAGCATGTGCATGGGTGGCCCTGCCTCCAGGTGGGAGGCCTCTGCCCTGCCACAGCTGTGCCTCAGCCCTCCAGGTGCCCCCCTGAGGCCCACCCACATCAGCCCACAGGCCAGCTCACCCCGTAGAAGGACACGGCTTTCTCCCGCTCCCAGGCCCCATTGAAGAAGATGTCTCCAGCTGCCTCAAACAGCTCCAGCCCCAGGCTGGGGTCGCCTGTGTACAGGACCACATTCTGTGCCACCTGAAAGGAGACAGAAGTTCCCTCAAGACCCACATCTGGCGAGGTGGCCACGCCCACCTTCTCCAGCCTCCTTCCTCTCACACACTACAGGTACACCTGAGCATTTTTCAGGCTCTGTGCATTAGGGATGCCCCCACCACTGGCATGAGGACAATGAACTGATGCACCTGAGTGCCAGGAGGTGACTGAGCAGCTGCAGCCCAGGAGCCCGACACCTGTGAATCCTACCACCAGGGCTAGCCCTAGCCCACTTCCCCTGCACTCAAACCAGTCTCCGTGGCCCCCAGACTGCTGGGAGCCCATCCCCTGGCTCCTTTCTGGGTTGCCACATCCCTGCCACATCAACAGTGTTTGTGGGTGGGCCTGGTCCCCTCTTGGCCATGAGCTCTTGATCCCTCTCCTCAGCTCATGGAGGTATATAGCAGGTGCTCAATAATGAAAGCTTCACCAGGCTCGTGGGCTTCACAATTTGTTCCAGATCACACTGTGTTTGGGAAAGCCTCTGAAAACAGCCACTATGATAGATCCATTTTGTAAGGAGATATGCCATGTGTCACTTGGAGCAAGTTCTTCTGTGTGTTAACTGAGTGGTCACATTATTTGAGCATGTGCTGTACACCAGCAGGTGCTGGGCACTGTGAGGGGCCGCGCCTCTGCCCTCAGGGAGAAGATGCTGGCCACTGGGGGAGGATGTGCAGGAACCAGTTGGAGGGAGGGAAAAGGCACACAACAGGTGCTCAGCAGTGGCTTAGGAATGAGTGGATGGATGGATGAATGGATGAGGAGATGTAGACACATGGATGGATGGATGGGTGTGTGGATAGATTAATGCTGGGATGGATGGACAGACGGATGAATGGATGGATGGACGGACGGATGGGTGGGTGGGTGGAATGATGTGTGTATGTCTGCATGTATATATAGGTGGGTAGATAATGCATGGATGGGTGGAGGGTAGATGATGTATGTGCATATTGATGGCTAGATGGTGGATAGACGAATGTATGGATAAACCAATGGACAGATAGATGAATGGAGGGATGGGTTAATGGGTAGATTAGTGGGTGGATGGATGAATGATGGATGGATGGATGAATGAATGGGTGGATGGATGATGGATGGATGGAAGGACGAACAGGTGGATGGATGGATGATGGAAGCATGGATGGATAATGGAAGCATGGTTGGATGATGGATGGATGGATGGATGAATGGATAAATGGATATGTGGATGGATGATGGATGGATGGAAGGATAAACAGGTGAATGGATGGATGATGGAAGGATGAATGGATGGATGCATGGATGAACAGGTGAATGGATGGATAGACGGGTGAATGGATGGATAAAAGGATGGAAGAATGATGGATGGATGAATGGACAGATGGATGGACAGATGGATGAATGGACAGATAGACGGATGATGGATGGATGGATGATGGATTGACGGATGGATGATGGATGGATGGAAGGATGAACAGATGAATGGATGGATGACGGAAGGAGGGATGGATGGATGGATAAATGGATAGATGGATGAATGATGGATGGATGGAAGGATGAACAGGAGGTGAGTGTGATGGATGGATGAATGACGGATGGATGAATGGTGGATGGATGGAAGGATGAACAGGTGGATGGATGGAAGGATGAACAGGTGGATGGATGAAAAGATGAACAGATCGATGGATGGAAGGATGAACAGGTGAATAGATGGTTGATGGAAGGATGAATGGACGGATGGATGGATCAACAGGTGAATGGATGGATAGACGGGTGAATGGATGGATGATGAATGGATGGATGATAAATGGATGGATGATAAAAGGATGGATGATAAAAGGATGGATGGATGAATGGACAGATGGATGGATGATGGCTGGATGGATGATGGATGGATGAATGGATAAATGGATGGATGGATGGATGATGGATGGATGGATGGAAGAATGAACAGATGAATGGATGGATGATGGAAGGATGGATGGATGAATGAATGGATAAACGGATGGATGGAAGGATGAACAGGAGGTGAGTGGATGGATGATAGAAGGATAGATGGATGATAGATGGATGGATGGATATATCAATGAATGGATAAATGGATGGATGGATGAATGATGGATGATGGAAGGATGGATGTATGAATGGACGAACAGGTGGATGGATAGTGGCTGAATGAAGGGATGATAAAAGAATGGATGAATGATGGATGGACGGATGGATGGATGGATGGATGGATGATGGATGGATGAATGGAAGGATGAACAGGTGAATGGAAGGATGAACAGGTGAATGGATGGATGCTAGAAGGAAGGATGGATGGATGGATGGAAGGATGAGCAGGCGAGTGGATGAATGATAGAAGGATGGATGGATGATAGATGGATGGATGGATGATGGATGAATGGATGGATGGAAGAATGAACAGGTGAATGGATGATGGAAGGATGGAAGAATGGATGCAGGGATGGATGGATAGGTGAATGGACGGATCATGGATGGATGGAAGATGGTTGGATGGATAATGGAAAGATGGATGGATGGATGGATGGATGGAAGGATGGACGAACAGGTGAATGGATGGACGAAGAGGTGAACAGAAGAATGATGGATGGATGGATGGATAGAAGGATGAACAGTTGGATGGATGATGGAAAGATAGATGGAAGAATGGATGGATGGACGAACTGGTGAATGGATGGACGACTAGGTGAATGGGTGGATGGACAGGTGAATGGATGGATGATAAAAGGATGGATGGATGATAGATGGATGGATGGATGGAGGGATGGATGATGGATGGATAGATGGATGGATGCTTGGAAAGACGAACAGGTGAATGGATGGATGATGGAAGGATGGAAGGATGGATGGATGGATGATGGATTGATGGATGGATGGATGGAAGGATGAGCAGGTAAATAGATGATGGAAGGATGAATGGATGGGTGGATGGAGAGTGAACAGCACAGGGGTCCTCCTGCATCCCTTGCCACTCACCTGGATGTACAGGTCCACCAGCTCACTCTGCTGCAGGATGTAATAGATCTTCCCTGCTTGCAGCCAGGCATGCGCCTCCTTCTCTTCCTTCTGAAGGTCAATGAAAATCCCCAGACTTCCTTTGGTGTAGTCCAGAGCGGATCTGCAGGCCCTGGAATCACACACAGGTGTCAGAACAAGGGTTCTCATCCTCCTGGAACCAGTCTGCCTCCTCCCGTGGGTCTGGTGACAGATGAATCTGGAATGTGCAGACTGGGAACGGCCCTCTTGTGTGTGCAGTGTTCTGCCCTTCCCAGGCTGCTGGGAGGGCCAGGGTGAACACACACGGCGTGGAAAAGATGAAGGACATCCTTCTGAGGGAATCGAGCATCATGCTGCCCTGTGGCAGGAGGAGTGTGCTAGTCCATCTCCCCTGTCTCCCAGACATGACCTGTGTCTTCTCCAGATGCACCAGGAGCCGTTAGTGTTCAGGGGCTATCTGGGCCGATGGTTCTCAAGGTGTGCAGGCATCACAGTCACCCGGAGGCCAGTCCTTATAACTTGCTGGCCCTGCCCCCACAGCTTCCGGCTCCACAGGCCTGGGGCAGGCCCTAGAACTCCCACTTGCCACAAGCTCCTACGTGACACGGATGCTGCTCTACTGGTCCAGGGACTACACTTTGAGAAGCATGGCTCTAGCACACTAGCCCATTTTCCTTCTGTGAACCTGAGACCAAGACTGGAGGCAGTCTCCCGGGTCCCCATGGAATCTGGCTCCTTCCCTGCTCTCTCAGTAAGTCTGACACTCGAGGGGGTGTGACTGCAGCAATGTCACTGGGCCCTGTGGGTGGGGTGGCCAGGGCCATGGTTACCCCACCAGGTCAGGATGCTGGGGGGAAACCGAGTAGGCCACATATGGGACGTGAGACCTTGAAACCCTGCCACAGGGAAGCAGGTGACACAACTGGCTCTGTCTCCTGTGGGAGAGAAGCCACAGGTGGCTGCTGTGGTCACATTTAAGGGGACAGATGAAGGCCAGGAGTGAAGATTCGGGGCAGGCAGAGGTCAGAGGACAAAAGCCACCATAGTAGGAAGAACAGCCCAGAGTGCACGTACTGCCTCTGCTGGGGTGGAGATGACCTTTGACCCAACAAGCGAGGCTCAAGCTGGGACTCACGGGCCAGCAGCAGCCCTGGGACGACCCCAGGCCCACCAGCTCAAAACATCTGATGCCAAGGAACCAAATGATCAAAAGGAGAGGGGCTGCTGGGGTCCTGGGCCAGCTTCCCTGTGCCCCCCTCCCTGCCCTGCCCGCCCCTACCTCCACCACTGCAAAGCCAGCCCTTACCGCTTGTTGCCCAGGGACAGGTAGAGTTGACTGATGGTCTCCAGGAGCTGCCCCTCCAGCACCTTGTCGGCCACCTTGCGGGCCAGGGAGAGCTGGAGCTCATGGTAGATGACACACTGGGCCTCGCTGGGCATGACAGTGCTATAGAAGTAGCACAGCCAGTGAACGGCCCGCAACTGGCCTGGGCAGAAGACAAAATGGAAGACGTTAGCCTCCCAGCATCGAAGCGAACCTGGCTGGGCTCTGAGGCCCCTGTGCCGTGCTTGCCTCTTTCACACCTCTGTGAGCCTGGGCCCCATAGGCGGGGAGACTGAGCGCAGACAGGCCATGCACCCGTGCCAGGGCAGACGCCGAGCACACAGTCACATGGGCACACCTTGGTGCAGATGCTCACGGTAGAGGCCGGCCTTCTTTACAACTCCCAGGGCCGAGGTCCTGGCCAGGCTCGGCCCCTGCACCAGGCCATCTATTTCTGCTTCACAAAGCCCCTCTGGCCAGGACCAGGGCCACCTTCAGCCTGAGCTGATGAGGCCAGGGGCACAAGTAGACCCTGTAGCAGATGGAACCCTGAGAGAGCAAAGCCAAGTGTCATGTCTGCCACACACGGCATCATGTTGGGGGAATGGGGTTCAAAACCGGGCCACGGCGTTCCCACACATGCTTCTCTCATGTAACCAGGCTCCCAAGCCACACGCTCACTGGCCTCTCCCAAAGCCAGGGCGCTGGGAACGGTGGAAAGTTTCTGATTTTCTAGTGCCAGAAACATTCCGGAGATTAACACAGGAAACCAGGTACGCCGAATGGACATCTGTTACACACGCCACCCAACGACAGCTGAATACACAGTCCTCTCGAGCACCGAGGGGACATTTCCCATGACAGACCATGTGCCAGGCCACAAAATGAGCCGCAGTGAATGGAGAAGGACTGAGACCGAAGCAGAGGTGTTCTTCAGCTGTACTGGCACAAAACTGGAAATCAACAGTGAAGGAAATGTGGGACATTCAAAAATATGTGGAAATTACACACTCCTAAACAACCAGTGAGTCAAAGAGACCATCAGGGAAACTGAAAACTAATTTGTGAAGAATGCAAACAAATGCACAGCCCGGGCCAGGGTGGTGGCTCACGCCTGACATCCCAGCACTGTGGGAGGCCGAGGCGGGAGGATCGCTTGAGTCCAGGAGTTTGAGAACAGCCTGGGAAACATGGTGAAATCCCGTCTCTATAAAAAATAAAATATAAAAATTAGCCGGGTGGGGTGGTACATGTCTGTAATCCCAGCTACTCAGGAGGCTGAGGCATGAGAATGGCTTGAACCTGGGTAGAAGTTGCAGTGAGCCAAGATTGCACCACTGCACCCCACCCTGGGCAATAGAGCAAAACTCTGTCTTTAAAAAAAAATATAGCAGTGTATCAAAAATTCCAAGATGCAGCTAAGGCAGTGCTGAAAGGGAAATTTATAACTGTAAATGTCTACATTCAAAGAAAGAAGAAAAATCTCAAATCAAATACCTAACCTTCCACCTTGAGAAACTAGAAAAAGAATGAACTAAACCCAAAGCAAATAAAAGAAAGAAAATAATGAACATGAGAGTGGAAATGGGAAGTAAAAATACAGAGAATGGAAAAACAAAAGAGATAATCAACAGAACCAAAAGTGGGTTTTTTGAAAATAATAACAAAATTGACAAATCTTTCACCAGACTGACCAAGAAAAGAAAGACGGGACACAAATGACTAAAATCAAGACTGAACACCATGGCTCACGCGTGTCATCCCAGCGCTTTGTGAGGCCGAGGTGGAAGGATCGCTGAGGCCAGCATTCAAGACCAGCCTGGGGGAACATGATGAGACCCCATCTCTAATAAAAAGAAATAAATAAAAAATTAAAAACCCAAGTTTCTAAAATCAGAAATGAAAGAGGAAACATTATTGCCGACCTGACAGAAATAAAAGGATTCCATGAAAACACTACGAACAATTGTACACCAACAAATCAGACCATCTAGACACAACAGCCAAGCTCCTAGAAAGACACAAACTACCGAAAGTGACTCAAAGATGACCCCAAGTAAGCATGTGGGGTAGCAGCCCCGCCCTCGGTCTCCTCGACCTTTCAGCGCAGGGTGGGGAGATAGGGAAGCATGATCCCCGTTCCCTGGCCTGCATTTCCAAGTCTGAATCCCCCAGCACCCTGGGGAGGGCCTCGTAGGAGGAGGTGCCACAGGCTATTGTGCCAGGAGCCACGGGAGGCTGCAGTGGGGGTTGGGGCGCTGGATTCCTGGAGGGTCTCCTTCCAGTCAGAGAATGCCCCTGGGGAAGAAGCCTGGGTCTGAACCCCCCACCCCTCCTTGGGCAGATGTGTGGGACCGGGGCCCCTTCACACGGTCCTTCCCAAACTCTCATCCCTCCTAGGGCCAGGAGTGGGTGCCAGGCCTGTGATGGGAAATGGGCAGATTTGGCCACAGCCCCTGGGGCTCTGGTCCAGGCCACAGGAGGCACTTCTGAGTGGTCTCACTATGCCATGACAAAGCGCTGCAAGGCAGAGGGGACCCACAACAGGATCCCTTGTCTCGGCCATTTCCCTGGACTCAACTTCCTCATCTATCCTCTGCGGCCTAGATTTCGGACAGCCCTGCCCACTGACTGTCCGTTCACTGCTCAGTCTGCAGTGACTGTTCGATAGCACTCCATGGCTCCCCAGTGCTCTTGGGGAAAAGGCCAAGCCACAGCCTGAGGCCCCAGGCCCTGCTTAGCTCTCCAGAAGAGCTTCTCACCATCCAGCACCCAACTCACCCACTCCTAACTCTGCACCTCCCTGCATAAGCCCTGCTCACTCACCCCTGCTCACACCCCACTTATCCCCGCTCACACTTCCGCTCACTCACCCCCACTCAGTCATCCCTGCTCACACTCCCACTCACTCACCCCATCACACCTCCGCTTACTCACCCCCACTCACACCACCACAACCCACTCATCCCCGCTCACACTCCTGCTCACTCACCCCATCACACCTTTACTCACTCACCCCCTCACTCATCCCCGCTCACTCTCCCGTTCACTCACCCCCACTCACTCAACCCCACTCACCTCCACTCAATCACCCCTACTCACTCACCCCCACTCACCCCCACTCACTCACCCCTGCTCACACCCCCTTCATCCCCGCTCATTCACCCCCACTCGCTCACCCCTGCTCACACTGCACTCATCCCCGCTCACACTCCCACTCACTCACCCCCATCACACCTCCGCTCACTCACCCCACTCATCCCCGCTCACTCACCCCCACTCACTCACCCCCATCACACCTCCGCTCACTCAGCCCCACTCACTCATCCCCGCTCACTCACCCCCACTCACTCACCACCACTCACCCCCACTGGCTTATCCCTGGTCCTTCACACAGGCTACACCAACAGCCCCTCCCCCACCACCTATTACTTGACTAAATCCTCTCAACCCTCTGGTCCCGGACTAAAGAGGCTTCCCTAACCCGGGGCCAAGTGCTGCCCCGCCATCACGCCACTCCCCCTTTTGTGGCTTCTCTGGCCTAAAGCTCACATTCCCACGCTCAGTCCCTGTTACCCAAGGACCCCACAAGCCCCATTTGTGGGTAGGGCCTGACACACACTGCACAACGAGCTGCTTTTGCATGAACTGCTCTGCGGCTTTAGGCAATCACCCGCCCCGTGTCCTCTGTGAAGTGGGATGACAGGTGCGCAGGCTGTCAACATACCAAGCAGATAACACGGGTACAAGAACCGGCGTTCAGGGCCTGGCTCATGGAGGGGCCCCAAGTCCCAGATCAGCAGAGCCTGCCTTGATCCCAGGGTTATGGCTAGGGATTCCCAGCACGCAGGACTTTCCGTGCTCAAGGCAGCATGGTCCCTGGGCAAACTGGGAAGAGCTGGCTGCCCCAGTAGGGCAGAGGGCCTGGCCCTGTGTGGGAACCGCCTGTCTCCAGGGCGCTTGCCAACATCTGCTGCTGGCCATGACTCAGCACTTTCGATGGTGGAAAAACCACCACTTGTTTCTGAATCACAAACCCCAGGTGTGCCCTGACCCGAGTGGCCCCGGGAGGCGCACAGAAGGAACAGGGGCACTCACTCTCCACATGGCCCAACCCCACAGTGACCAGAAGGGCCCACTCATAGTAGCCCTTGCCCTGCTGGGCCGGACCCTGGTGGGTGCAGAGGTGGCCCAGCTGCAGGAGCACGTGGTGAAGTCCCGGCCACACTCCCTGCAGGGCAGCCTCGATAACAGCCGCACGGACTCCAGGAGGTAGTGCTGGGCCATGCTGCTGGCACCCGCGTGCAGGCACAGGGTCCCGAAGTTGGCCAGCACCACTGCCTGGTTCCTCCGCTGGCCCAGGTCCTGAGCTGCCCGCAGGGTGCTGTAGTAGCCCTAGGCTGCCTGTCTCGTCCGGCCCAGCAGGGCAAGGACTACTATGTCTTCAGAGCCACGTCTCTCTCTTGTCATCTAACCCATTTAAACTCTCCTTTCAAACTATATGCCAGACCTAACCACTTCTCACCTTTCTCATCATTTCCAACCAGGTCCAGCCCTCATCATAGCGCTCTGGGTTACTGCAAAAGCCTCCCAATCACCAGGCACAGTGGCTCATGCTTGTAATCCCAGTACTTTGGTAGGCCAAGGCGGGTGGATCATCAGAGGTCAGGAGTTCAAGACCAGCCTGGCCAACATGGTGAAACCCCTCTACTAAAAATACAAAAAATTAGCCAAGCATAGTGGTGGGCGCCTGTAATCCCAGCTATTCGGGAGGCTGAAGCAGGAGAATCACTTGAACTCAGAAGGCAGAGGTTACAGTGAGCCGAGATCGTGCCATTGCACTCCAGCCTGGGTGACAAGAGCAAAACTCCATCTCAGAAGGTTTAAAAAAAAAAAAAAAAAGCCTCCCAACCCACCTCTCTCCTTCCACCTTTCACCCTGACCTGCATTCTACCTTCCACTCTCAAACATTTCAGAAAAAAAATTATATCTACAGAGAGAGAAAGAGAAAGTACAAATGGGGTGAAATGTTTGGGGAATCTGAGGGAAGAGTATATGGGAATTCTCTGTACTATTTTCGCAACTTTTCCATAAGTCTGGATTATTTTGAATTCAAGAGTTAAAGAAAAAACAAAAACAAAAACAAAAACAAAACACTCTCTCCCTTTGTGAACCCATCCTGTCTCTCCCCTGGTAACTGACGGACGCTCTCAACTAACACATCTATTTTCTCATGAACACGAAAAGAACCCTTGCCTAGTTTTGACTTTCTGTGCTTGGCAGTAGAATTTCATATATATGTGTGTGTGTACATATATGTGTGTGGTGTGTGTGTATATACAGAGAGGGAGAAATATATATGTGTGTATATATATAAATATATATTGTAAATTTACAATGGTAATGTGTATATATATAAATATATGTGTGTGTGTAAATATATATAATACATACCCCATAGCCTGTCCTTAACCAGTTCTAAACTTAGTCGGAAAAACACATACCTAAGCAGAGAATTTCAAAATAATATGATGAATATTTTGATAGAGGGATGTGTTGCTATGGAACACGCTGCTAAGACACAAAACCTCCTAGATGGGGCAATGAATGAATGAAGTTTTGCACCTATAGGCACCCCCTCTGATAGCCCCTCAAACATTTATACTTATATGCATTTGCTTCCCCTAGGACCCCATTTCATAAGGGTTAGTCCTAGAGCCTAGCGAGTTCCTACTACAGCTGGCACACATATGCCATTCAAGAAACAGTGGCTGAGTGAATGACGAGTTAAGAACCATTTGTCAGCCAGTGCTCAGTAATACAACATGCACTGGTATGCAAATTATATTTTTGTTGAAAGCAAGGGCAGGATCACAAATTATCTTTCCAGAGAAAGCAAACCTCAAAAGCTTCTTTACCCTACTAAAGCACGTTCTAAGAAGCTCCCCTTATATAAAAGAAAACTTCCTCATTCGTTATCAATGGCATGTAAACCTAATAAGCCTTCACCTCTGATGACATCTCTTCCATCCCCAGGGCTAGATGAAGGAGGTTCCGGAAACCCTGGTAGTTGTGAAGGTGGCCCCCAGCTCTGACAGTCTTGAACCCTGTGGGCGCGGGGGTCACACAGCAGAACAGAGGGAAGCATCATCTGGCTTCGAATATGTTTGAACCAGAGATGGCAAATAGGCTGCAGCCAACTGAAAACACCAGAGATTCCTGGTGGCCACCTGAGGGGTTGTGCTCTTAAAAAACAAAAATTAAAATTAAAAATTAAAAAATTAAAAAAGGAAGGGGTCAAGAATCCATCAGGTCTGACTGAGATGTGTATCAGTGACTAACACCCCATATGGCAAAAGTATTCCGGTGCGCTTTGGGTACTCACAGCTTCTGCAGTATTCAAAGGCGTGTGCTTCCCTAAGACTAAGCCACAGGAATACCCCCCCAGCAACAATGCCAGGAGAAACGTCTAACATGCATTTGGCTAGAAATACAGTTGTCTTTAACAAATTAACACTGAATACATCCTGACTTATTAGAGCCTGCGAGAATGACATTCTCAATGATAACAGTTATCACTACAATCTCCAAACATCTGTGATCCTACAAGGAGGAACTGTGACAGCGCAGGCCACGTGTCCAGACTGCTTCCCAGACCGCCTGTTACAGAATGAAAGAAATGAAATCCCCCCTAAGAATGTCTTCACTCACATTTAGCCAGTTGTTCCTTTGTGTGCATCTCTGTGCTGAAATGGCCATTCTTCCCCACAGCCTGAAGTCATATGCTAAAATAAATGAGACTCACATGAAGCCAGAAACATGCAGATGCCAAGGAAACCAACACAAATGAAATGGGCTGGAGAGTGTGGCCAGGAGGATGGTACTTCCCAGGAAGCAATTACTTCATCTCTGCCCATGAAGCAGGCAGCTGTCACTGTCCCCCAGGCCCACGCCAGCCACTCGAAGTAGGTTCTAACCAAACTACCTCCAACAATCAACGTAAATACACCACACAATTGGCTTCTGAAAGGACACCTTGCAACCAACAAGAAACTGTAAGCACAACTTTGAAAAACTGTGCAATAAAATCCTTGGAAAGGGATCAACACTGCCACATTTTGACTCAAATACTGTTTCGTGGTAGCACTGCAATAATTCACTGAAACAAAAGAATGAATGAGGAACATTATATAAATGAATATAAAAGAATGAATGAAGAATGAACATTATATAAATGAAGGTTTATATAGGAATCAGAGGAAGCATGACTAATCATTTAAAGAAATAGGTCAAGAAACTGCTAGGTTCAGATGCTACCGTGAGACACTGTCAGGGCCTTAGGCAAATTCACTTCTCTTGGTCCTGTTTCTAGGTTCATCAAAAACCAGCTTTGGACTAGGGAATCTGTTGCTTTCCAATGCCTTCCTTCTGTGATTCCAGCCCAGATTTTAGGACTGCTCTCCCACTTGGTATATGAAAGCACTTTCTATGTATAATAGCAAGAGTACATTTCTGTGTTGAATGCGCTTTGGGACCTACTCTATGAGGCAGAATATCATCATGTAATTTTAAGCATGACGACAAGGCTCACTCTAGATAAGAACAACACATAAGACGTGGCCATACACCTGCGCGTGCCTGGCAGGGAGATGGGGAAGTCTCATTTAATGAAGCCGGGGTGCCTGTTGCACCTTAACATCCTCAGTCCACATCAAGTTCACAACGTCCTTCTGACATCCAACCACAGGTATCACATACTTTTCCACACTTTCCACCCAAGATTAAAATATGCAGAGCACCGTGATAAAGACGCCTCCATCCCCAGCATGTGGGCTCTCGTTCTGTAGAATTACATACTTTCGGGGCAAAATGGTGACCAGGTTGTAGCGGCAAGAAAGACTGGGCTCCGTGGGGACAGCAGGCCCTGCAACAGCCACCACTCCTGTCGCCACAGTCTGACGCAGCTGCAGAGAAGCCGTGGCTGAGGCCATTCACTTTGTGAGAAAACCGCACAGGAGGGAAAAGCTAGGGAAGGTAGGGAAGAGGGCAATGTCAGGCTTCTGAGCCCAAGCCAAGCCATCGCATCCCCTGTGACTTGCACGTATTTGTCCAGATGGCCTGAAGTAACTGAAGAATCACAAAAGAAGTGCAAATGCCCTGTCCCACCTTAACTGATGACATTCTACCACAAAAGAAGTGAAAATGGCCGGTTCTTGCCTTAAGTGATGATATTATCTTGTGAAATTCCTTTTCCTGGCTCATCCTGGCTCAAAAAGCTCCCACACTGAGCACCTTGTGACCCCCACTCCTGCCCACCAGAGAACAACCCCCCTTTGACTGTAATTTTCCTTCACCTACCCAAATCCTATAAAATGGCCCCACCCTTATCTCCCTTCACTGACTCTCTTTTAGGACTCAGCCTGCCTGCACCCAGCTGATTAAAAAGCTTTATTGCTCACACAAAGCCTGTTTGGTGGTTCTTCACACGGACGCACATGACAGGCAGGTGCAGAGCCAGGGAAGGATCTGTGATGAGAACAGAAAGGAATGCGCCTCCCTGTACACACACTCGGATTTTATGACAATGTGCGCAGGGGGCTGAACTGGATGCCTGAGAACATTCCTCCAAGTTCCTTTGCTGATTTTCTAAATATTGGTGTGAAATCTGAACTCAGAAAGTTTTTTTAAATCGCTTCAATCAACATCTTTGTCTGGTGCTCAGCATCATGTCTACATGATCATCTGGAAAACCAACTTCAGTTCTAAGGCTCACATCCTCCTACAAAGTCCCAGGGATTTCACCAGGGAATGCACCTCTCATTCGCATCAAGAACACACATAACTACCATTAAAGAAATGCTTAATTTGCTTACACAATTTTTTAAACACCCAGATTTGAAATACAATAGAGAAGACAACTTTTTGATAGCTCTGCTTTGCAACAGGGAACTGCAGGTAGAGAAAATAACCTGCCATGATTTCTAACCAGCCAACCACCTGTCTTCCCTGGCTGCAGTAGGAGCAATCTTTCTGAGCTCAGGAGGAAAAAGAACCCAGCTGGTTAAGGGACAGATAATCATCAGTTCTCAGCAGGCCTCCCGGGTCCCAAATCCCCATGTGATACGTGGAAGTAAAAAGCTATCAATGACCAAGCATCTGAACGCTTATCCCACCTTGCCATCTGCTTCTCCTGCCATGCAAATATAAAATTAATAAGCCTGGTATTAGAGAACAGAGTTGGTGCTGCATCTGTCTTCCTAAAATTACGGATAATTACCAGCCCACAATGGCTTCTAATCAGATTTGAGTAGTCCCTTAGACAGGAAGCTAAAGTGCCTCAGCCCTAAACTGAGAAGAAAACAGAAACTGGAATGTTCTAGGATTGATTTTTTTCCCCTTGTTCTAAAGTTGCTGTTCCCAAATCTCCTTCTACTGTCTTCTTCATAAAATGTATGAGAAACAGGGAAATTTAAAGACACTACAGAAATGGCCACTTTTTCTATGTACAAACCTTGTGAACATTATTTTCAGCTGCTGGGCTTTTTCTCCACAAACTGTGAGCCTGGAGTACATTTTCTCCCTCGTGGTTACACATTCAGAGTCAGGAAAAGTGGCTTTAGCAATAAAGAGGGGAGTGCAGTGAGAAGTGACCGGGCACTGAGAAGGGCAGACAGGGAGTCCACCTCGGTGGCCTGCAGCACTCCTGGGCCTCGACCTTTACTTTTCTATCTGTACAAGGGATCTAAAGGCCCGTGATTCTAGGCCATGACAGCTCTTCATACACACATACACAAACATCACACGCCTATGTGAAAAGCTGTGACACTTGGCTGATTTCCTGAAGAAGTTGTCTTGTATCATTTCTACTCAAGTATTCCACCTCCTTCCAGACAAGTATCTGAGGATGATGGGCGATCCCACAGCAATGTGTTAACCTCTCCTGCTTATGATCCCCGTTCACACAGCATTTTCCAAAAGCATTTGGTGTGAAGTGACAGAAGAAAGAAGAAGAAGGTTCTTTCAGCCCATTCATTCATTCATTCATTCATTCAACAAATATTGACTGACTATCTACGTGCCAGGCACTGGTGATATACCAGGGAACATATATTTTTGTAGGTAGAGACAGACAACCAAAAAGCATGTTCAAGAGTGATCAATGCTGTAGAGGAAATACACCAGGAAACAGGAAAGAACAATACCCCTAGCCACCCTACACTGGGGTGATGCTAGCGTTACAAAATGGAAACAGCGGCCGGACGCGGTGGCTCACACCTGTAATCTCAGCTCTTTGGGAGACTGAGGCAGGCAGATCACCCGAGTTCAGGAGTTCAAGATCAGCCTGACCAATATGGCGAAAATCTGTCTCTACTAAAAACATAAAAATTAGCTGGACGTGGTGGCACACGCCTGTAATCCCAGTTACTCAGGAAGCTGAGGCACAAGAATCACTTGAACCTGGGAGGCAGACGTTGGAATGAGCCGAGATCGCGACACTGCACTCCAGCCTGGGTGACAGGCCAAGACTCTGTCTCAAAAAAAGTAAAAATAAAAATAAAATGTAAACAGAGAATAAGATACCAAAAGAAAGAACATGAACGATTAATTGTAACAAAAGCCTTTGTGAGCTGATACTTTCCTTCCTGGATCCTTGTCCCTTACAAATGGAAAAAAAGGGCAGGTAGGAGGTAGCATCAAAATGATGTTTTCAGATGGCTTCGGGTTTCCGATGTCTGACAGCCATACTCATGTACTTCAAGGAAAAAGCTCTAGCTCTATAAGCCATCTGGGCAACGGTTTAACGTCTTTTTTTTTTTTTTCCCAGAGAGTTTTTAAAATACAGGAAAACATGTATGTTTATTTGGCTGCTCTTTGTCCGCACACATGCAAACTGTGCTAACAGATTTTTTCCATGTTTTCCTGAATTTGCCAGCTTGCCATAAACAGGCTTCCATGTCTTGTCTATAAATAACACAAACACACAAAAATGCAAATCAAGACAAGCTCTCCCTTCAACTGCCGCTGCCATGATGACAGCGAATGACAATTGGCCAAATCAATACGCGGAGACTGAAGCTGTCCAGCAGACAGCACAGGGTCCACTGCTTTTCCCATAGCATTTAAAGAAACAAGCGGAAACAACTCTCCACACAGGACACACACGTCCTTTGTTCTTTGAATAAATGCTGCCAATGCCCAAAATACTTTCTCCATCACACTATCTATATGGAATTCAAGTTCTTTCCAACACCATGAGTAACGCCAGTGATAGACTGTGTTTAGCCATAGTGACCCATTAGCATTCTTTTTCCTCTAAAATGTTGAAATAATAACATTGAGTGAGCACTCACGAGGTGCCAGGCTCTCAGTTTGATCTCATTTAGTTCTCATTGAAATCCTGTAAGATCAGTACCATATTCTCTCATTTTTCATAGATGAGGAAACTGAGGCACAGAAAGGCTAAGTAAGTTGTCCATGGTCACAGGTTATTTAGGAACTTTTCTCCAAACTTTCAAAAGTTAACTACTGCCACTATTACAAATGGGTTTCTATTTGTTTGTTTTTGTTTTTTTTCGAGACAGGGTCTTGCTCAGACCAGGCTGGAGTGCAGTGGTGTGATGATGGTTCACTGCAGCCTCCACTTCCTGGGCTCAAGTGATTCTCGCACCTCAGCCTCTCCAGTAGCTGGGATTACAGGCATGAGCCACCACACAGGGGTAATTTTTTAATTTTTATTTTTTGTAGGGATGGGGTTTCACATGTTGCCCAGACTGGTTCCGAACTCTGGGCTCAAGAGATCCTCCCAGGTCAGTCTCCCAAAGTGCTGGGATTACAGGTGTAAGCCACTGTGCACAGCCCTACAAATGTGACTTGTACAAAGTCAGAGCAGTGAGCAGGAGGAGAACAGAGACTTCAGCGAGTCTCCTGGCTGTTGCAACACCATATCCCTCCTCCATACCGTAATGTGTCTACACCCACCAAGCTCCTAGACGTTGAAGGCAGGCCAGCTCAGAGACGAAACAGCAGTCAAGAAAGAGAAGATGCAGACATGCGTCCTGATTTCAGCTCGAGCGTGCCTCTCTGCCCTGCAGCTGCACAGGCAGAAACCAGGGGCCGTGAGTCTGAGGCAGTGTGTTTGGTTCCTGGCAGGTAATCTTTTGGGAGACCATCCCATACAATTAGTGTTACACTTCTCAAAAAGGAAGTGTGACTTTTATAGAAAAATCGATTCCATTTGGGAGAAAGGTCTAATAAAACCACAAAAGGATAATACATTCATAGAACAACAAATTCAATTCATCTGTCACAAACTGAAATCCCAAAGCCCTCTGGGCACACAGCTGCTTTTCTGAGCTGAAATTCAGCTCCAGTTGAGAAACAGGTCAACTTTTCTAAAACGATTTCTTTTCCACATGCCTTCAATAAAAATTCCTTTCCCTCACTTGTCATTTTCCAGATTTAATGGCTCTGTTGGCCTTCCTCTCATTTAGGCCATGAGCACTGACTGAATGTCTGCCACAGCCGGGACTCCAAAGGAGGCACCCTAGGGAACACAGATGACCGCAGCACAGCGACACCCTCAAGGAGCACACACGGGGAAGGCAAGATGATACCATCGCAGCCTTCACACACAAAAGAACTTGGCATCCATACCCCGTCCCATTTCTGGAAAACAACGATGCTGAGTCAGTAACATTTACGGAACAGCCTGCAGTGTGGAGGCAGGCGCGAGGGGGCTTCATGCGGGGACGAGCACCTTCAGAAGGGGGCATGCAAGCAACGTGGAGGCAGGAGACGCCCCCACGCACAAGGGCCAGCCTGAGGACCTGCAGAAATGCCCATGCATCTGGGAGGAGGGAGAGAGGACAAGATACTTAAATGCTCCAAAATGAATAGAAGCCTCCCAAGAACCTCCCCCAAAATGGGGCAGGGATTTACAAAAGACCAAACTGAGCATGCGCAGTTACCTGAGCAGAGCGCCACCAGAGCC